GATGGGATCCGATCGTTTACCACATTTATATATGGGACTGATGATTGCTTGCTTCCACTCAGATGGGAGTGGATGAGAATTGGATGGGCATTGGGAAAGGCTGCAACATGTGTTGCTATGGTAAGGACAAAGTTTTAAGATGATTGGCAAAAATTTTTGTTGATTCAGGGATATGGCTTGCTCGGAGAGAATTGTAATTTGCTTACGTTAGTTGCCGGCGTAGATATGGTGCTACATAAGCCGAAGACATTTGATTGGAAATGACAAGGTCAAGTTTCCAAGGCATTTGGCATCCCTGAGCACAGCTGCATTATTAGTACGTTCGCGTTATCCTTGTGTTTTAAGAAAAGCTTCTCTTTGCCATTCACATATCTGGAAAGCAGTTTGCTGTTGCCTGTAAATTTGAGCGACATAGTCTTCTGCTATTGGTAGTTGTCAATGAACAATAAACAAAGATTTATCACGGGTAAAAACGCATGTGCTTAACAAGTCCCGTATGAAGGTTGGAGTAAACATTAAAATTGAAAGGATCATCGAATAAGTAAAGCGTAATTTTAAGCGTCCAGCGATTTAAATGCACTACTGCATAACGATAGTTTGAAGTGAGAATGGGATGTGCACACACAAACTAGTATAAAGAGCCGTTATAGTTCAGTCAATGCGTGAGAAAGAAACATGGAAACGACAACGTTCACTCGGTGTTGCTTCATTTGACAAATGCATTATATTAATCCAGTTTATATATATCCAGACTACTCACATGGACACATTTGCATGTATCCTCGTCGCCACGTTGCGCAGAGGGCCGTTAAACATGGTTAGATTTGCGTTATTTCGTTCTCAAAGTGAAACGAACTACATGAAATAATGAAAGTTTGAAAGCGTTTCATCAAGACTTTTTGAATAGCTTTAATGAAGGGACAAGGATAATCAGAGTTTCGTAGTCAAACGGATATTTTGTGTCTCCTGTCCAACTTCCCGCTGGCTGCTGGTTCTACAGAACGATATCCATCCGTTTCTGAATGCTCAGCTGGTGTATCTGTGTCTGTGTAACGTCCTAAATGCATTACCATCCCTCCATGCAATAGCGTGAGTGATGGAGGCCAGTAGAAACTGCAAGGAAGGAAGAGAGGGATCCTGTTAACGTTCAGCTTCGTTGCATTATCATGATATTTAATGTGTTTGAGTCAACTGATGCAAATGCACAGGCTTGCTATAACCACGACGTCGCATTTCTGCAGTCTGATCGGCGGACTCCTCGATATTGGTGTACAGGGGTTGAGAAAGAAGCAAATAGCCGTGTTGGATAGAGAGATGAGGGATAGACTCGGCCTCCGTGAAGCGCTTTGTTTAATAAAGTTAACTCAAGACTGATACTATCTTGTCTCGTTATATTAAGATGTCTGAAGGTCCATATTCTCCTAAATATGCACCCCTCAGAACGGCAGAAAATCTAGTCCGCTATCGTTAAGCTTAGGCTGCGTACAAATAATGGGGAAACTATTTTTCACATTGTAAATTTTCGGGCAGTACCGCGGTTTGCGGAACCCGGATCCAAAGCTCGATGCCGCTCCACGCGCAGTCGTATACTGCGCGTAGCCTCCACTAAGTTTTTGCAGTTTAATAAACAAACCTGACGATCTGTGCCACATGGTTACCTGTCGTCGGCCGAATTTACTGGGATTGCCTGAGACCTGATTGAATCCTGAGACAGCTTCCTAGGATTTCCAGATCCAGGGCTACTCGTGCTTCCGGTGCAACAGACTACTGAACGACCGCAGTGGTGTGCAGCTTATACATCCGCTCCTTGCCGTGCAGGAGACTGGTAAGCCAGTATCAAAGGGAGGATGGCCATTGTGAGCGACTGTGGTGCTCAATCTGCCTGAGGCGTGGCCGGTTGTTCGTGGGTGTAGCCTATGTTAGTCCGCTAATTCTCTGTATGAATTGGTTGCCGCATATGCGATACCACACGTGTCGTCCGCGCTTCCTGTACATGGATGATTTTAACCTCCCTCGAATACGCTGGCCTGACGTTCAAATTCTCCCCCGGCATTGTGAAATCGAATCGGAGTTTGCTGTGATTATAGCAGAAACTGGGGCAACGCAACACATATGCCAGCCGACTCGCATGACACCGCAATCAAGTTCGTAGTGCCTGTGTTTGGTGTTAACTAACTGCAAACAGCATGTCCGGAATCACTCGGCCCTACAGCCAATCGCAGCTAGTGATCACACGATGATCGTGATCAGTCTTGAGGTTTCAGTGCTAAACTCGCATCCGCTGGAGCCATCCTACGAATACTGAAAGGTTAACATCGATCGTCGCACTCGATCCGCTAGTCAAGTAGACTAGTCGCTGCCGCTGGTTCGTCTGCTGAAACATGTTGACTGGTTGTAAACGCGTAAATCACCGTTCGCTCGACTTGTACGTCACAAATATCTGGAAGCTAGACCAGTGAATTCATATTGGTTTGACAAATAGTATGGCCATTTGGCTCGACGGCGACGCGTGGTGTGGAATAATTGCCTTATCCGGCTCAGCTGACGCTTGCCAGCTGCACAAAAGGCAACGGTATCTATGCAATAGCGCAAAGATGCGGAAGCGTTAATAGCTCGTAGATGGTCTTACAAACGCCGCAGGAATGATCCCTAATCATATTAGCGTTTACTTGCAGCTGCACCAGTGAACGACGGGCGACTTAGCAGAGTTAGAGGACTCTGTTGGATAGCCACTAGGATCTGCAGCACTGAAAGCAATACACTACGCCTCTGTATTTGCAATCCGGCATGCGTCCATACTAAACAGTACATGTGCAGGACCTACGGAACTCGATAGCTTGGTTTGCGATGTGGATGATCTACATAATCTAATTGCCAATCTTGACAGCGCAAAGCTTGCCGGTCCAAATGGGCTCCACCCACTGATTCTCAAATCATTGTCGAATATCCTTTCATCCTGCGTGATTACCATGTTCAACGAGTCGCTGTCTTAAGGTGAACCTGGAAGTCCTCCTCAGCAAAATGAGGATGTGCTGTGCTGTGGCTCACTGCACAAGTGAATCCGTGACCTCCTTACTAGACAGAACTGGATGGTACAGGTGGATGACTATCTAACGGACTGGTTTCCCCCACCAGTGTTGTACCCCAGATACATTGCTGTGGCCCACTTCATTTTTGATCCACATTAACAAAGTGCCTCAGCTCGTTCGCTCACCTTGTGTCATGTTCACAGTCGACCTGGGGATTTGGAGAATAATTGGCGCTCCCGACGACTGTGATCTCCCTTGGCATGAAATCGACCACTGATCTAGCTGGTCTGCAAATATCGATCCGTTGGTCAACCCAGTCAAATCATTATATCTGAGCCTGGAAATGAGTGTAAATAGACATACGTATACACTGACCGGCCAACCGCTGCATCCCATAACTTTCGTGAAGGATCTTGACGTACTCACAAGCTGCGATTTGAAGTTTGCAGACAACACTAACAAGCTACATGGAAGCGGACTGCGCATGCTTTGGGCGCTCAAACACAGCCACTGCATTTGTTCTGAAGAGATTGCCACCGGCCACTTCTCTCCTATCATAAGACTGATGCTCGGTTACGGATCACCCATATTAAGCTGCAAAGACTGGAACGCGTTCAGAATGTTGCCACCAGGCTTACGGGGTATGCCGTACGGAGATCGTTGCATACGACTATGGCTGTACACCCTGTCCTAGCGTCGATTTGGAGTAGGCCTCATAACTAACAGCATGAAGTGAAGCTAATATGCAGCAGACGCCAGGGAGCACTGACCTGATTCTTCACAAGCGCTCGAACTAATTAAGATTGTGCAACACAGACCCTTGTAGACTGGGTCCCATTTCCAGTATTCAGTAACCTAGTGCTGCATACTTACAGGTTACCAGTTTCCGCATTATTCCCTAGATGCTTTATACCATGCATTCCTAATATTGCGATACCGTTAATTAATCTCAATAAATCTCTTGCAACCTAATGAGAGTCAGTTGACAATTTTGAGACACCGGAAGAACCGTGGTTCAAAATAACCAGCAGCGGTTATATTAGCACGATAAGTAAACATCCAAGTGTCCAGTTCACCCGCCTTGTAGTAAAAATACCAACATACCAGACTTCGACGCTGTCTAATTTGGCAATTTCATTCAGAAAGGGGTAACGGCAGCATTTCAAGTTGTGTAATTGGGGTTTTTATCTCAAACTATAAACAAATTTAAAGAAAACTGGTCACATAACATGGCATTTACTGACTTTTGTATAGAGAGTCCCATCGCAATAGCGGTGAGCGAAAAGTGCAGTTAGTATGGGAAACTGCATCTCGAAGAAATGCAGACCGTGGTAGACACGAATTCCGCCCGTTAGAAAACTCACAAACAACCTTTATAGTTTCGTCATGGAATTTCTTTCACAACTTCTTAACTAGCAAGAAATATAAACACTTCAGCAAGATAAGCAGAATCCAATTAGTTCGTGCAATCTCGACCGTTTACTTACAGTTCTTGAAAGTGTTATGTTGCATACAGAGACAATTAAGGTGTACCTTCATCGGTGAATCAATGGCGTTCAAAGGTCTTCCGATACTGACCGACATTCCTCTTAAAGGAAACAGCCACCCGGCGCACCATAGTAATACGGAATTTGATTCAAAATGGACCCATTTACAGTGTAGGTTTCCACCAGTTTATTGCGGGAAACACAAGAATCATGGGTGGGTGGCATTCTGTAATTCGAGTATTTTCAACGACGTGCTTGGGTTTTTACATCTTTGGCGTCAAGTATGTGCCTAGTGATCGAACTGGTAAGCAACTCTAATTATTCAAGACGAGAATTTGCTGTGTATGCTACCAAATCTTCAGCAGTAGTTTTCACTCACTTCGGCAGATGTAGTCGCTACCTCAATTGCTATGCAAGCGCGAAATGTATATGGCAGAAAACAGAGGTTTGCCAACGCTGGATCTGAGCAGCAGCTCTTCTTCTGATGTATAAACGGACTTCCATTGACCAATTCCAGAAAAGTGACTCGCTGCTATTGTGCTCCTGTTATCGACTCATATCTTGATTTTTTCCCTGCGTCTTCCTTGTAAGGTTACATCTTGTATACCTTTGTATGCAACATAGCCATTCCATGAACCATATTTAAACAACTGTGGAAAATCCGTAAAATAGTTTCATTCAGGTTGTTCTGCCAAGATCTTGTTCTCTTTTCACTTCATAACCATTAAACTATTGGAGAATTAATTTCCTTTATGGGCTGTCTCAGCATCTGCAAATTATGATACAAATACAGCCCATTTTCTAATTGTGGGGCTCGAACAATTAACAATGAATTTATACGGGCTAAGAAGCGTTGCTTTACCAGTCCCGTTGGATAGTTGGTGGGGATATCAATATAACAATAATGATGATAACGATAGTAAAATAGTTAATACTTTAAATACGAAAATAAGGACTTATCGTTTGCTTCGCTGCAGTCCTGCGATCCTCTTAGATACACAGCACCCACAGTTAACAACAAATAATTCCATGTTGAACTCCAGGTGTAGGATGGAGACGTAGTGTTAAGTGACAAAGTGTAAATGAATGAGTGCTTCGTCCAACGGTCTTTTAAATACTGTTAGTGTCGGTGCAGAGACGACCGATTCTGGGAGAGCATTCCACGGGTGCCAGACACCAATGCAAAAGAAATTTCTGCTGCACTCCAGACGACTGTATTGTTCTGCGAGTTTTATTGAGTGGACCCTCAAGTTTGTATTGTTGCTGAGTTGCAGTAAAGGACGGCACACATGATGTGGGTCTCGCAGAATCAAGTATGTCATAATCAGGTCGCCTCGTAGTCTGCGATAGTTTCCACTAAACAATCCCAGTCGTTGCAGCCTCGCGTGGTAGGAAAGATTGCGCATTCCAATTACGTTCTAAGATGCCAGGCGTTGTGGCTGCTCCAGTGCATTAAGGTCGTGTTTCAGCCATGGATGCCAGGCTTGAATTGCATATTCGACATGGGAGCGAACATACGCACTGAGCATTTGTCGAAATATGGATCTGTATATTTGTCCAAACGCTCGTCGCAACAGCCCGACGTGTTGGTTCCCGGTCTTTGAGGCCTTTTCGGATTGCCTGGAGCAACCCGTCATTTTGAACCGGAACGCCCAAGTCACATTCGAGAGTTCATCGTTGCGGTATATTCGTTCCCAGCCGGTTTGAGTAGCTGCTCTGATGTCGGATGGAAAGCACCTTGCATTTACTGACGTTGAAATGCAATAAGTTTTGGGTCGACCATTGATACACCGTATCTAAATCACTCTGAAGCACATGTTAATCAGTGTTCGCCTGGATCCTGCGCCAGATCTTGATATCGTCGGCAAACATTAGGAAGTTTGAAGCGATTCCCTGTGCAAGATCAATAATAAACACCAAAAACAAACGTGGACCTAGAACTGAGCCTTGCGGCACACCACACTCGACTTGTATGGGGTCCGATAAAGAGCTCCGAACTCTGACCACTAATTGCCGTTGAAGTAGAAAGTTGGCGATCCAGCTTAAAAGAGGGTCTCCGATCCCGTAATGCTGCAGCTTGGATAGTAGTATCCGATGGTCTAGACGGTCGAAGCCTTGGAAAAATCCAGGTAGATCACATCAACACCTTCTCCAGCGTCGGCTGCCTCGGTCCAACTACTGCGTGCAATTAGTAAATTAGTTGTACATGACCGCTGTCGACGGAAACCGTGCTGTTCAGGAGTGATGAGGTTGCAGTTTTCCAGGTAACACACCAGTGCATCGGTGATTATGGATTCCGTGATCTTGGAGAGTATGGCAAGAAGGAATACTGGGCGGTAGTTAGAGGGATCAGTTCTGCTTCCACCTTTGTGAATCGGGGTTATTATTCCAAGCTTCCACATGGCGGGAACTTGGTTCTGGTCTAAGCAGCGCTGGATAAACCGAGCTAAGTGTCCTGCCAGTTGGCTTGCTGCTGCTCCCAATGCCTCTGGACGAATGGTGTCGACACCCGGCGAGCTGTGTTTGCGTAGAGAAGTCAGCTTTTGCAATACAGCCTCTGCGGTAAAATTGAGTTGGGTTAGTCCTGTAGAGCAGAAGACAAAGCTTGGTATATCGCTTGGTGACAAGACTCTTTGAAACGTGGGGGCGTATTGCATCTGCAGCGCGTTTGCCGCTTCCACAGCCGTTCTTGTTGGGCCATCAGCCGTCTTCAGTGGAGGAAATCCTTTTCTCACCTTATTAACGTGCTTGTACAGCAGTTTGTGATTAGCACTGAAGGTTTTTGCAATGTTCTGCTGATAGGCTGCTTTGTCTTCTCTTAACAGTTGAGTGCAGTGGTTATGTTGGGCTACGTAGTTGTCCCAAGTTTCTGGTGCTGGAGCTTCTCTGTACATTCGCCATGCTGCGTTGTGTACTGTCATATATTTTCGAGTTCTGCTCCTAACGAAAGAAACTGATTTGCACTTATTGCAAGCTTTTATCTCTGAAGCCTGTGCAACCAGCTGACTGAAGGTGTTGACGAACTCGAGCCAGGCGACTTCCGGGGGTTCTTCTTCGAGGAAAGACCATATTGTGGCGCTGACGAACTGGGCGAACCGGTCGTATCTTGTTATGGCTCGCACAGTCTCTTCTTTATCATTCAGATATTCTGCATAGCAGACGAAGTTGAAACTGATGACTGCGTGATCACTGCGACCCAACGGGCAGTCTAAAACCAACGCATCAATCATATGCTCCTCGTTGGTAAGCACAAGATCCAGCACAGATGGCCTGTTACCTGTTCTGAACCGAGTGGGCAAAGTAATGTGATTGTAAAGAGGAATAGTAGTTACTAGATCTTGTAGACAGGTTTTGAATTGTTCTCAGATCGTGGCAGGGGCTTCTAAACAATGTACGTTGAAATCACCCATGATAAGAATGTGAGTGTACTTTTGTTGTCAAATGCACCTTAAAGCAGCCGCTAGGTGGTAGTCTGTTTCAGGCGTTAAGTTAGGGGCGCGCTACACCAAGACAATAAGGCAAGCGTCCCTGACTTTTAACTGCAACCGGCACCAAAGAGACTCGGGGAACTGCGAGTCTGAATCCTCCACGGCTTCTCACTGTTAATCGTTTTAGTAATACAGGATTACCCCTCGTCCTTTTGTGAGCTTGTCGTTCAGGATCAGCGACATGCCGGGTAGCGAAACTTCAGCGTCCGTCATTCCCGTGTGCAACCATGTCTCGGTGATACCAATGACATCATACGACCCGGAAGCTTGGCGATCTTCCAGTTCAGCCAGTTTGTTAGAAAGACGCTGAACATTCGTATACATGCAGGCCAGTTTCTCGGTCTCTAGGAGCCCACAGAGGGGTGAAGCGGTCACGTGTGGGAGAATGCCGACCAATGGGTGGTCGGCAGTTACTCGTTTTTTGTTGGGTCAATGATACCTCGTTTGCAACTTGAATCGGCCAAGGTGCGTCCCAACCTTCGCTTAGACCTACGTCAGAGTCAATTAAAGCAGCAGTCAAGTTACGCTTTTGTACATCCACCTGTAGTCTTGCTGCTTCAGTTGTTTTAATATTTGAGCTGTGTAAATTGATTGCGAACTTTAACCGAATTTCGGAAGAAAGATATTTCTGATTTCTCCACCATCGATCCAAAACATCTTTTGCTTGTTGCTCTGACTAAACCACAAGTTTTAGGATTCTAGAGCCGCATCCTCTATAATTTGGTGGGAGAGGTATCCTGGTGAGCGAAAGTGCCACAAGATTATCCAAGGAAAGTGTTTCACGAATGAACCCCCACTGTTCTAAATCGTGTTTTCCGGTCTCTTGAACATCGTTAGAAGGATGTTCTGGCACGCCATGTCTGAAGATTGTGTTTAGGCGGTCTTGCTTGCTGTGCCCCTCTTCGGTGTTTCGTTTTGGTTGTCGCGCGAACCAAGGAACATCAGGATTGATACGTATCACACAGGATCCGTGTTTTAGGGCGCTTGCGGAGAGCAAAACGTTTTCTATGTCGGTGGAGGATTCTAGAGTTACTCGAATAAGTCTGGGTTCGCCAAAGTGTGGCGAGTTCGGATGACGAGTAATTCGTAACAAATTTATGGGCTTGGCTTTGATACTCATCTGCATACACAATGAGTTCAATTGGTCTTGGTCGTCTGATAACTTATCCCGCAATGTGATGGCGGTAGATTCAGGGACATTTGAGCATACAACAGTCCGAGCAATGTTGTTGGATCCCTTTTGTAGATCTACAAGGTATGGTACTCATTTGTCCTGACTTGTTGACAAGTGTTGATTGTTTGCTGTTTTTCTCTCTATTCGCGTTAACGGTGTTCGCAGTAGAAGAGGACGCAACGGCGGCCTCTCGGTTGACCCTTGCAGCATTCTCTGCGTATGTAACGGATGTCCTGGGAGGCTTAATCTCGATAAGATATTTGAGCTACAGGTACCAAGGTTGGTGTTTGGCTGCTTCATCCTTGTTACTGCTAGAAGGCAGGTCTAGTGGAATTTGCTTAACCAGACGTTTTGAATGGTGCCTGATCTCCGTTGTCATTAGTACTGTTTGATTCTCATAGGTACAGTCTGTTTTCGCGCGGCGTTCTACCAAAGTTGGAGAAGACAACGATGGAGAAGTGGCTGAGTGCGGTTCAGGGGAAGTGGATTGTTCACCATTCCGTTGCTTAGAAGCCGCCACGCTTCTGTGGTGCATACTCGCTTCCATTGAAGTAATCTTATTGTTTATTCTCTGATCTGCTTCTGCGGTTAACCGGTCGCATTTCTCAGCTAGGATAAGCAAGCACTTAACGAGAGGGATGGTGGAACACGTAGCACAGAACCAAAATGCGTCTTGGGAGCTATTTCGCTCCCGTAACTGTTGTTGGGACACACTTGCACATTTCGTATGGTACCATTCCAAACAGTGCGAACAAGCCGGACCGATTTTTACTACTCGATGACATTCTCCTAATCCGCAAATGCCTTTCGCTTGGAGTCTCTTCGGTTTCGCATTTCTGCCATTCAATTTGGTGTCGTTACCTGACCCAGTGGTTTGGTTAGCGTTCTGTACTTTTCCAGCTTTGAGAGCGGCGCACATCGGTCAGGCGAGCGTGGTGGTTGCAAGGTCAAATGAGCGGTCGGCGTGGTCGCGCGGTCCGTGTGATGGGTTATGCAGCCGCACTGGCTGACAAGGTCACAAGGTATGGCGAGTGACTGGAACCTGAACAGAGCGCTGAGCACAGATTGACAGATCACAGATCACAGATTCCTTCACAGCTGTGTTGAGAAACACTGGATCGGAATAAGCTTAGGCTTTTCTGCCTGCCTCGAGAATTCTGTATCGAATGGAGTCACACAGAAAGGCAATCGGCTCAATATGATTGAATTAAACGCTTGTGCTTAATCACAGATGCCAGTGAAAACGGTTAGTGATGGCACAGCCTCTAATCGTAGAAGATATTTCCACGTATGATGGATCACTGTGTAGGGCTGGTAAATCCGGTTCGAATGAGCGTACAGTGTGATCAAGAACCGCACTCAATTCACATCTCCACCAAAACTATTTATCGAAATTGCTGCAACGTTCGTAACTTGCATGGCAGTGAAGGATAAGACGGACTGTGTTTTTATACTAGAGAAGAGCGCTGGGCTTCTTTATGGCGGTCATCAAATCTGTGCAATTCTTGGCTTTTGAATAGCATTGTAACATTACAGAAAAAAGAAAAAACTATTTTCTGGTTAATGCAATCCTACCCCATTAAAATTCTTTATCTAATAATAGTTGAATCACCCACTGATCTGAATAAGTTAAATAACAAAGCACAATCTCGTTGTTATATACTTGGAATCAGTTGAACTAATAGGCAGACTAATTGCAGTATTATTCGGGAGTTAATGTTTTAAGCCGAGGGGGTGCCTGAGTAAATGCTTTTTTCTTTCTTGGAGGTTGAACATGTCCATCATAAACCAAAGCTGAAAGCAAAGTGTGCAATTTTGTGCTTACATTTACAGCACAGAGTAAGCAAAGAAAATATAAGGAAACCCGTTTTAACCGCTTGCAAAATGAGGTAAAGTTACGGCTAGCTTTACTTTTCCGGTCTGTTCTTTTTCTTGAATGTCCTCACTATTTAACAATGGGTGAATCTTCAACAAACTGCTCCCCCCCCCCCCCCCCCCCCCCCCCCCCCCACCCCCCCCCCACCCCCCCCCCCCCCCCCACCCCCCCCCCCCCCCCCCCCCCCCCCACCCCCCCCCCCCCCCCCCCCCCCCCCCCACCCCCCCCCCCCCTCCCCCCCCCCCCCCCCCCCCACCCCCCCCCCCCCCCCCCCCCCCCCCCCCCCCCCCCCCCCCCCACCCCCCCCCCCCCCCCCCCCCCCCCCCCTCCCCCCCCCCCCCCCCCCCCCCCCCCCCCCCCCCCCCCCCCCCCCCCCCCCCCACCCCCCCCCCCCCCCCACCCCCCCCCCCCCACCCCCCCCCCCCCCCCCCCGCCCCCCCCCCCCCCCCCCCCCCCCCCCCCCCCCCCCCCCCCCCCCCACCCCCCCCCCCCCCCCCCCCCCCCCCCCCACCCCCCCCCCCCCCCCCCCCCCCCCCCCCCCCCCCACCCCCCCCCCCCACCCCCCCCCCCCCCCCCCCCCCCCCCCCCCCCCCCCCCCCCCCCCTTCTCTTC